TTGTATTCTTTGTTGTGCGTCCATTGTGGTCAAGCCAAGTTCTCAGTGAGGACAACTTTTGTTGCAACGGTGATGATGATCTTATCATCTATTAAACGTATTTATGTTGTTGATTGAATGAAATGAATTGAATGAAACTGCCTATATTGCTTACGAGTTATATTTTTTTAAATGATTTTAAATGAAATCAAATCTATCTTAGCATAGGTGCAGTGTGTTGACTGGCGTTGCTATTTCTCGGAAGCGATATAAAAAATCGAGTCCCCTATTGTGATAAAACGTCGAATTATATCGAAAATTAAACCTGTCCTCGTGATACTACACAAGTACAAGTTAAAAACTTTCCTTTCCGAAAAATATTACACGTGGACAATTCCATATTTGGTATGAAAAGTATGTTTTAATAAACATAATAACTTCTTCGGTATTTAGGTTGTTTTGTCCTCGCAGTTTTCGATGAAAGAAAAGCTGATATGTGATACACGATTACGACTTTGGGTTTAGAACCACGTATACAGTTTCTAGAAGAGAGCTGAAGACTTGGTAAGGCGGAAAAACTGTCCCGGAAATCGTTCAGTAAAACGGAAGTTGATGTGGATTGACTTAAATTAACGTAGTCTTTGTCCGCCCCACTGGGAGGCAGCTACCTGGTACCTAGGCAGGTATAAAAAATTGTTTGTTCAGCGGTTGACGTATTCAAGATTAAAATGCGCATAGTCTACGCGTATTTCGAGGCGCATGTCCATGTCTTAGTTTAAACCTTGATTTAAATCGAGAATTGCTTGTCACCTTGATTCGGTAAGCACTTTTGTTAGAATTTGCTTTGAATAGTTTGAGTATGAAACGTGTTGCAAAATCTTGTTAGATTTCCTTATAGCCTTTCTGTATAATATTCACGGCGGTGGCGGTGAACACAGAACAATAAATACAGTAGAAGTGCTAGTTGCGTGTCACGTGTGCACACAGTTCGCGGAGTTCCGCAAACCTGAGTTCAGTCCGCCATTTTCGTTTCTCGAGAATCGTAGCAAAATGCCTTACTGCGCTACTTTGGAGTGTGAAAATGATAGTTGCGCTATTTTATCTCTGGTGGTGTTTCGTATCATCATTAAGTCTTGTTTTATTTCATTTTAATAAATTTACAATATTCTAAATGATTATCACTAATATCAGGTTTCTTACCGGTATGACTTCTTTTTATTTTACCGATATCGCGGTACGGTTGCACGCTCTATGGTCACGGGTTGACTGGTTGGTTGCAATATCGGAACAATAAAAAGAAGTCATACCGTGGTGAGAAACCTGATATTAGAGATTTCAACGTTATCATTTTTTTGTTACAAGCTAGTAAACGAAAGTAAACCTTATACTTGCAATATAGTCTCGTCTTTTTTGGAGAACAAGCAAACATCTAGATTTCATCGTCGTTCAGTTATTAACCGCTAGATGGCGGTACATTGTTCGAAATTTCAATAAAAAATCAAACCGTCGTAACTTTTCGTACACAATCATAGGTATCGAACTTTCTACGATATGGCAAAAAGGTAAAGTTTAAATTATGCTAACAGTCCGTTTTTTTTTAATTTGGAACTGCGACCAATCATCAATCTATCATGGCGTCTCAAATTATAAATGTGTGAGTTTTGGAACAGCGGTTCTGATAGTAATCGAGGCTTAAAGGTATTTCCATTGTTTTTCTGCCGTGGCGGTGAATAAGATGTAGGTTAATTAATTGTCATCATTATTATTTAGAGTTAATAATAAAAAACAAAAACAATAGATGTTCATTACTATTACGTACTTTCCAAGCTGATAAGTTTGACTTTAAAATGAGCCATTTCTGCTTACAACACTAGCATTGTTGTTGTCAGTCACTTTAATAATATATAATAATAATAACGCACACACTCAATATAGCCCCGCACTAAGGAAACCCTGTGTCGCAGGTGCCATGGACACACATAGACAACCACAAATTACACCCAAACTCACGGGAGAAATAAATGTAAGCCATACAAATATTTCTCCCGGCCCGGGAATCGAACCTGGGACCTCTGCGTGGCATGGTAACCATTCGGCCACAGAGGCAGTTAAATAACAACGCAAACATTTCAGGTTTAAATAGTAGGCAACTTGTCTGCACTGAACTTGTAGCTGTTGCCGCTCTTATTCTTTTAAATATCTCATTGATAGATTGCACATGGCTCCTTTAGACTGGTTACATACTTGCGATTGTATCGATGCAAACGCGCGACTTTATCGTTACAAACGCGCGATTGCGTCGATGCAATCTCCTATAAATCCCAAGTGTAGCGATACGATCGCGCGTTTGTATCCATGCAGTCGCGCACTTGCATCGCGTTTGCATCGCGTTTGCATCGCTGCTTAAGATCGCCGTGTGTAACCGCTTCTAAAGTTGTTCATAGACCGCATTAATAATATTAGATACTTAAAGCAGTAACAAAAGTCATTGTCTGTATAAATAGACAGAAATGGATTGCACTGAGTCGGTAGCCGCAGCTTTCGCCCCGGCGCCTCCCGGCTACAGGTCGTCCATGCAATATTTATGACCGTTACATATTGTATTTATGTGCAACTCTATTGAGTTGTGTACATATCTAAGCTTGCATTGGCAGTTGCTATTGCCATCTCACCACAATGCGGGGCAATGTATACGGTTCTTTTAGAAAATCTATCCATGTACTTCGTTTAAAACTATCTTGAAACAAAAACTTTATATGAATAGTATTTGGATGACAAAAAATTTATGGCAGTGATCTATTTAGATTTTAGATTCAGGTTGTTTCTACCTTTGATATGTATTATAGAATTTCTAGACTTTCTATTTCTAGCACTGTTTAATCAATTTGACGATTTTAAATGTAATTTTCTTAAGTATCTATGAAGTAAAGATATTTGGATTTAAGTTATGATAGGCTTTTTTTATGATATGGACGAATAAGTCGTGCTTTTGGTGGTAAGCGATACGCCTGTTCACAGCAGTTGCAGTGCCAGTCACAGCTTTAAATCGTAAAGATCTGAGGGGAATTACCACTGCACCCGTCACTCTGAGACATAAGTTGGCAAGTCCCATGTGGCTGTAATTGCACCCTTGCCTTTCAAAACCGGAACGCAGTAATGCTCAAATTACTGGCGGCAGAAATAGGTCAAGTAGCAGTATTTCTCTACACAAACTCCAGTAGATTTATCTATAATTAATACATTATTAAAAGATGTTTTTGATTTTGGGAATAAAAGAACTACAATGGAGTACATAGGAGTTGGACCGAGGAAAACAACTCATGTATAGTTGAAGAAAGAGCACTTGCACCGATGAATGTTATCTCTTGGAATGGCTTATACTTTCTATTACAATAGAGTAACGAAACCATTAAAACTTCTTTTTCTTTTGCTCAAAGCGTACATAATGATCTTGGCACATCGTATGACTCATGGGTGCGTTGAATTATTTTTCTGTATTCTAGTTTTGAATTATTTCTTTACCCTTCAGGTTGATTTTTTTATAAAATTGTGTATGTCGTAAAAATACCGACTACGAACTATTTTCTTACTAATTCAAAGAGTTAGTTCCGCATAATGAGTATCAAGTTCAGAATTAAGTGTGTGTATGCGTAAAAGTGTTTAGACTATAATATAGTTATACTTGTTTGCACAATACAGATGGCACTTGGGAATAATATTTCGCCAACCATAAAAAGATAAGACTACTACTAGTATCTTTTCGGAACTTGGTTCGCACACTGCCGTACGCATAGATTTTACTGCACACCCTAATCTATGTCTGTTGTGATTTATTATTTTTAAAATAATTAGAAATAGAAATAGAAATAGAAATAGAATACATTTATTACAAAACACCACAACACAATAATAAACAGTAAAAAATTAAAAGTAAAAAAAAAAAATTAAAATAAAACAGAACTAAATTAAACTTAAAACAAACTAAATTAAAACAAACAGAAAATGAATAACAAAAAAGAAAACTAAATAAAATTAATTAAAAATAAAATTTTGGCAATAAATAATTATTCGATCATAAAACTGGTCAACACTATTGCTGTACGAAGTAGATGTTATGTGTGCGGCTGTGGCGTATGTAATAGGATCCACTCAGCTAATGTCACCGCCGGGACAAGGCTGTGACGCTGATTTTCAGTGGACCCTAAAACCGAGTGAGTACCGGACGTGTGTGTCGCGTTTAAACTAAAATAAATTACGTATATATTTCTATAATGTAGTATGGTGTGTTCTCTTATATTTATAAAATACTTAAATAATTCATTTGATACATATATGCAGTGATAAGCATATGCAATGCAATGTCTATTATTTACAACAAACAAAAATGGGACTTATTTAGTTATAAAAGATATCAATTGCGAGATTTGTGTCACGTGGGCGACGCAAGACGAGCGGGTAGGCGCGCGAGAGGGGTCCCCGGCTCACGAGCCACAAAGCGCGGCAACTCCGTCCAGCTCCGTTGTAAGCAAACAGGTTTCGTCCTGTATCGTAGGTACTTACCACGCATAATAGCGTGCAGTCTCCTATGCCATAAAAGGTATGTACCAATATTTAAAACTTCTGCCGATTGCAGATTATCATAAATAATTTTAATTGTATAATGAATTGTATATTAATTATGAAATATAAAAAATTAAATAAGAATTGTGTCATATGTCAAATAGTAATAATCAGTAAAATTATAAGTTTTTTATAAAAAAAAGAACGCACCACAAAAGTCTATGGAATTACATGTATTTGTCCCATTGGCTTAGTTTTATTGAAATCCCATAAACGGGATTCATATCCCATTTTGCCACCCTTAGAGGTGGAATATTTATTTCAAATTTCAATGCGACCAACACTGAAGTCGGTTTACTAATGTCGAAGTAATCATAATATACGCAAAAAGTACAGTCGAATAGAGAACCTCCTCTTTTTTAACTCGGTTAAAAATGTTAATAATGTTTGTTTGTTCACAGATTGGACACGCAGTTCGAATTGTCCGATGAACGCATTGAATCGCCGTTCGGAGATGGCACTAAGAAGAAATAAACAGTAATGTTACACTAAATCAAAACGCGACTTTTAAAAACACAACATGCTACACAAACGCGTTTATAAAACCTTTCGTTTTGGCTTCGTTTCGTTGTGGTCGGTAAATATTTTTTATGGCGTTACAGACTAATGGTGGTTGGAAAATTCTGAGCTAAATTCACTACCGAATTTTATCTTGTATACAAATGTAATATGTTCAATTGTTGTGATTGAAAGTAAACCCAAATAAAAAAAAAGTTTTTAAATTATATTATTGTTTATTATTATGGAGTAACTGTAGTGTTAATGTAGAGTAACTACGTCTTACGTCCGTCAAGTGTGTTTCCTCAAAATAACAATAACTAAGTCTCTTCCAATAAACTTATAAAAACATTATTAGTAGAACATAAAAAAGAGGTGGTTTACATTTAATTTTGGTACATTAATAAATTAATACACTAATGTTTATAAGCACAACAATAAACTAGAGATGAAACGGATAGTGATTTGGCCGGATACCGGATATCCGGCGGGTACCTAGGCCGGATAGCCGGATACATGATATTTACCGGATATCCGTTTTATCTTTACAATAAATAGTCAACTTCGGTCGCAAAAAAGAATACAAACAGTCAAAGAAAATTTACAAGGATAAGGATAATTACAAAAGCAAAGAGTCACTAGTAATCACAAGAAGTAGTCACAACCGCCATTAATTAATCACCAGCACTAAAGAAACGTAGGTATAAATGGTCTAGTAAACAACATACTGTACGTTCATGGAATGAGAACGTGTAAGTCCCCAACACGCATCTCCTCTAAACAGACTCGTGTCTAGCAGTGGGATCGTCCGCTTCTTTTTTCTATGATACTAAGTTATGGGATGAACAAGTCGTCCGCCTGATGGTAAACAACACGCCTATCCATAACAGTTGCAGTGCCATTCTGAGGTGCACTGCCTCTGTGCCAATCACCCTGAGACATAAGTTGAAAAGTCCCATGTGCCTGTAATTTCACCAGCACCCTTACATTACTGCTTAGCGGCAGGCATAGGTAAGGTGGCAGTACTTCCCTGGACGAACTCTTTCACAAGGACACCTCTGCTGCTACTAAAACTACAGTAAATGGCTAATTCCATCTCAGTTAGTCGCGACCATGGACCCTGAAAAGGGCCCGAAATGTTTATTTGTTTGAACATTTTTAATAACGGTACCTGCACACGTGTTGAAGTACAAGTTAAGGTGTATAAATGTTGAAAATTAGTCCAAAGGTTGACTTGAACAATGTTTTAGTGTTTTTTTTTTGACTTCAGTGTAGTATACATTCTTCACTCTACATTTTGCATTTCTCATTGCAACTCCAAACGTTTAAATGTTCAATGGCATCCGACTCAATCTTTACGCCCTGTGTTCATCCATCACGAACACAAAGACTTTTTAGTGGAAATGAAAGGGTAACCTTTCTATCCTGAAAGAGTTCATGTCACACTTAATAACCCGAAAAGGTCGGGGTCAGACAAAGGAATCATCCATCTACTTTGACATCCAACTAAAGCTGAGTAGAAAACTAGCCGTTTTATGTTGACCTGTCTTTACACCTCGCAGTTGTAAAATAACAGGTCTGAGAAAATTTGACGGTTTGCAAAGGAAAACATAGCAACTTTACGTAGAGCTTAATGTATTTGGTGAATGTATGGCATTCAAAGGTCTTACAATACTTGACATTGCATAGGGAGGAATCACTTTTTTTTTGGCAGTATGGGCTCGGAAGCTGCATCTTGCACTTAGTTTGATTAAAATGAGGATCGTTGTGTTATTTTCGTAGTGGAGAGTGTATTGCTATGAGGGAATTTTGTTTTAGTAAACATTTTGTCTCGATAAATCCAATCGTTTTGAACGGGTTTTTAGTCGCATCTCGGCTATATTAAAATTGTAGCCATAGTCGATAAAGTACGGTGGTGGAATAATATTCTACGATTTGACCGATAATATTGATAATGTATTTTGTAACCTTACCGATAACGCTTACCCGTATGGTTAAAGTTTTACTTAGAAAATTTCTCCAATACCTCCATTATATTTATCAGCAGAATCTAAACGCAACATAACATGAAACAGCTCGAGCAGATGTGCCGACGATTTGCATGATTATGCGCATAGGCGAATTATAATGCCAGCGTAAAATCGGCATACACCAACGGCGCCGCCGTCGGCGACGCCGCCACGCTGCTTTTGTCGTCTGATATTGGTTTTTTAATATCACATCAAATTGAGACGTAAGTGATTATTTAAAATAGGGGAGGTTTTACGAACATTGAAAGGAAATACACCTTTTGGGTTGACTCTGGATATGATTTAGAGGGTAGAAGCGGCAGAACGCAGACATTGTTTTAAAAAATGTGTCCAGTATATTTCATTTACATCTTTTAACCTCTTAATATAGTACATTACTGCAGAGGCCGGGAAGTAAGGGATTGCTGGACGAGTATGAGTTACAAGGACGAGCGGCAGTAAGACCTTGCATTAATACGAGTCAAGCAATCCCCGTTCCCGCCGAGGCTTGTATAGTGCTTTTGTCAAACAACGTGAGGAAATACTAAAAGACCAAAAAGAGAAAGGTGTATAATAAAAAAAGTAAAAGTTGCTTGACTCGCATTAATATAAGGCCTCGTTGGCGTTTGTCCTGTTACTCATACTCGTCCAGCAATCCCTTATTTCCCAGCGTCTGCAATACTGTACTATAAATAAATCACTCTAAACTGTTGCATCCTTCAAATTATCTTTTAAGAAATTTTTATTATGTAGCCAGGTGTCCAACAGCACTGGCAGTCGTGCGGTGCGATTATGACATTCCACTACTGACACTAATATCACAACTACACATACATGGTAACACAGTGATCACACAATACACGCTCACACAGACTCTACACGTACTCGCAGTTTCTCCTTTTTTAAATTGAATTTTCATATTTAAATTCTTCTTTATTTTTCTTTTTACATGGTCGAAGCCACTTTATTTTTGTTTAACTGTAAATTGTTGGCTTCACTGAAAATCAGCGTAACGAGATGTTTCCCTACGTCTCGTTACAAATAAGCTGAGTGGAGACCTTTTTGGTACCACCTTAAATGTAATACTGTTTTATTTTAAGTAAATGTTATAATAAGGTTATTTTAATTTTTGTTTTTACGTTCTATTTGTATTATGGTTACCAAATAAACTATTTTTCTTTCTTTCTTTCTTTCTAAACGGTAATGACTGTGTGTGCAAAAGAAAGCACCACCAAAATAATTTTGGCAAATGCAAGCACACGGGAGGTGTTGCTAAGCAACTTATTCCTAAATACAGATCATAAATAGTGTCAGACAGTACAATAAAAACTTAAAAGTTTATTTTTGGTAAACATATTGTGTTTGTAAAAAGTCATGGAACAAATGTTATTGTTTACGCTGACAGTAATATAGTCTTGCGAGATTGTTAGTATTTTAAGGTGTTTACAGACTTGATCGATTTCTTGACGATCCATACGTGTGATCATAAATCGAGTGAGCGTGAACGAGTAAGTAGTGAGCAATAGAGCTCCTGCCGCCAAGCGGTAACGCTCTCATTATTGCGTTTCAATTTTGAAGGGGAGGGTGCTGGTGAAATTATAGGCAGTGGCAGTAACCCTCAAATATTTGCGATTGAAAGCTCTCAGTGGTATTGCACCGGTTATGGACAGGCGTGTCACTTACCAGCAGGCGCACGACTCGCTCGTCCTGTCGCTTGGTATCATAAAAAAAGCAACAGACATGCAACAACGTTGTTTATGTTGATCGATATTGTAAAATTGAAATTAGGCACAGGCGCTTACACATTTGTTCAATTTTAACCTTAATATTTATTAATCTAAAACAGGGGCAAATCTGCACCTTAACCCTATATAACAGCTTATAAGTGCGTGCAAATTTGAAGAATGCGTCTGTTTGTTATACACTACGTATTGCAATCTGTTCGCGTGCCGCCGCGCTCTAGCTGCCAGCCGTCCATGAGATGTGATTCCAGTGGCGTCCGTGCAACGCATACGTGGCCGCATTCGCCAGATCTGTACGCACCCTTAGACGCAAGTATAGGATAATATATTTTTTCAGCGCTTTAGTAAAATAAAAAAAATGAATTTTTCGTGTTACGATAAATGATATCAATGTAATAGGTAAATTATAAGAATCTTGGAAATTAAGCAACATCCAATTTTGCCAAATTTCCAAATATGTTGCAATCGCAAAAACCGACAAAAATCTCTTTCACCTGATCTAAAATCTAGCTACATTTTTTAAAATTTTTCATTGATCTTTAAAGGATAATTTTACGGTAACATACTTGAATACTTAAACAATAAAAATTATCACCGAAATTAGGTCGCGAAAACCTGAAAATTACACTAGAACTGGTTTGAAACACATGACTGCACAACTCTATTCAGTTACTTATAAACCTTTGCAGCAGAACGTAATGTATGTCTTCAATACGGGCTTTATTTGAAACAAAAGTTACGCGTAAACGAAGCACGGCTGATTGAAGTTAGAGAAAGCTTGTTACACAATATTTTATTTTCCGGGTTCCATTTTCCGCGGAACCCGGTAGCTTTTAGCGAAATCTCTTAAGTCCCCGAAGGAGGCAGACATAGGAATTAGGACCCCTTCGCGTCTCTGGGGAGAAGTCCTGCACCAAGTAGTGGCAATAGTCGTGACACGGCACGGTCCCCAGGGGAAGTTGTCTTCGATCGACTAACGTAAATTGTGACTGGAAATAGATTGCAATCGGAACATTAATGATTCAGATACGAAAGGTTTTTTATTTACTTACTTTCATTCATACTTTACTTTGAAAATTTGACAACGGCAAATAGTCCGGGATCTCGTGAATAAAAAACTCGAGAGGTATAAAACCACCTACCTACCTGGCTGAGTGAAGAAATGATTTGTCACAGATGGCGCTATAGCAAAGAGTTGTTAATAATCAAAAAACAAAGATCTGCAACGTGCATATAGAAA